GGTACACACACACACAGCAACACCACCAGCGAGCACACCAACAGCACAAAACGCAACATCACACACACACACACTCACTCACTCCACCTCTCTTCTTGACTCTCTCTCTCTCTCCGTCTCGTCTCTCTCTCTCTCCGTCTCTCTCTCCTCTCCATACTCTCGTCTCTCTCTCTCTCTCTCTCTTCATCTCTCTCTCCTTCTCTCTCTCTCTCTCTCTCTCACTCACACACCACACGACACACACACACAGCACTCTCACTCTCTCTCTCTGTCGTCACACACACACAGCACAGCACCACACCACACACCACACACACACTCTCTCTCTCTCATCTCTCTCCCTCGCTCTCTCTCTCTCTCTCTTCTCTCTCTCTCTACTTCTTCTCACACACACACACACACACACACCACACAAACCACACACACACCACACACACTCTCTCTCTCTCACACACACAGCACACTCAACACACACACACACACATCACACCAACAACACACCGACATCTACCAACAACATCTCTCTCTCTCACCACACATCAGGCCCAACACCTCGTTCACCACACATCACACACACACACACACACCACCCAACTCTCACAACACACATCACACACACAACCACACACACACTCTCTCTCTCACACCACACACGAACAGCTCTCACACACACACACCACCACACACACACACACATCTCGTCTCTCACACACACACACACTCTCTCACACCACACACACACACACACCACACACACTCTCACACACACACACACACACACACACACACACAGCACTCTCACACAACACACACACACACACACACACACACACACACACACTCTCTCGTCTCACACACACACACAACTCTCACACACACACACACACACACACACACACACACACTCTTCCTCTCTCACACACCACACCACACTCTCACACACACACACACACACACACACACACACCACACACACACCACTCTCTCTCTCACACACACACACACACACACACACACACACACACACACACACTCCCAGCGATGCCGAACGTGATAAGATCTAAGATATCGTATCCAATTATACGTGGCTACCCTCAAGTTGATTCGGAAATTCGAGTAGGAATTCATTATATATTGAAATTAGGCATCCCTCTGGCATTCAGGTCTTATCAAGTCCTTATCGCATTAATATCAAAAGAATTGATTTGATATCGTAAATATTTTAATTGTATATTCAATAGCTTTTACCACCTAAAAGAAAAATATATTCGAAGTATATTTAACGCAACTATTTAAGCAATAAAGTCTTCGATGCTGGCGACGGATTTTCAAGTGAATAAGAAGAAGAAGAAGAAGAAGGAAGAAAGAAGAGAAGAAGAAGAAGAAGAAGAAGAAGAAGAAGAAGAAGAAGAAGAAGAAGAAGAAGAAGAAGAAGAAGAAGAAGAAGAAGAAGAAGAGGGAGAAGAAGAAGAAAGAGAAAAGAAAAAGAAAAAGAAGAAGAAGAAGACGAAGACGAAGAAAAGAAAAGAAAAAGAAAAAGAAAAAAAAGAAAAAAAAAAGTTTGATCTTCTCGAAACCATTTTCTCTTCGTTAGTTTTCGACCCCGTTTTTGCCTCAAAGGATATAGAGAGTTTGGAGAATGGGAGAGCGTCAGCTGCTTCTTGGCAAAGTTTATATAAACACGTAAAAATAAGAGAGAAGAGAGAGAGAGCAGAAAAAGAAGACAAGACTCGATGAGAGAGAAGAGGAGAGAAGACAGGACANTATATATATATATATGTATATACATATATGTATGTGTGTGTCTGTATGAGTGTGTCTGTGTGTGTATCTGTGTGTGGATGTTTGTGGGTGGGTGTGCATATATATATATATATATATATATATATATATATATATTATATATATATATATATATATATATATATATATATATATATATATATATATATATGTATATAATATATATAATATATATATATATGTATATATATATATATATATATATATATATATATATATATATATATATATATATATATATATATATATATATATATATATATATATATATATTATATATATGATAGATCCTCTTGTCGGTACGACAGATGAGTAGGCAGACAAGTCAATTGCCGAGGTGGGTCCTCATATAGGAATGAAGACCAATTCGTGACGCACACAATCGGCCACAGAAGCTGCATGGGAAGGAGTCCACAGAAGTGGAGCACTGTTTCCTCCTCTCCTTCTTTACCTTAATTTCAGCTATTCTGTTGGCTTTGAAGTCTTTTGTGCCTTGTGCACACTGATGTCTCCAAAGAGCTCTGTCACAGGCAGTTGCTTCCCAGGAGTTCACGTTAAGTTGTACCTCTTGAGATACACCTTCAGTGTCTTTGTACCTTTTGAGGGGTCTTACCTGGTCGCGGTGCCCTTCTTTCATTTGTCCATACAGCAGCATCTTCAGGATTCTACCGTCCTCCATTCGGATGACGTGTCCTGTCAATCTCAGTTGGCACTTAATGATCAAGCACTCAGTGCTAGGGAGGTCGCACTTCTCCAGGACCTGAAGGTTGGACACTCTGTCCTGCCACTTGATGTTGCAAATCTTCCGCAGACATCGTTGGTGAAACTGCTCTAGTTGCTTGATGTGCCGGCGATAGGTGGTCCATGTCTCGCAGCAATACATAAGTGTACTCAAGACCACAGCTCTGTACAAGGAAATCTTAGTGGAGAGGCGGATGCCACGGTCTTTCCAAAGCCTCTATGTCAGTTGGCCAAAGGCTGCGCTCGCCTTTCTAATTCGCAGCATCACTTCACCGTCCAGGGATCCACTGCTCATTATGGTGCTACCAAGGTAGCCGAAACTATCCACAGTCTTAATCTCTGTATTACTGATGATAATGGGAGGAGGTGGTGGTGCATTGGCAGCTTGTGATGGTGAGGGCTGGAACATGGCTTTGATTTTTCCGAGGCTGATCGTCAATCCGAAACGTCTACAGGCAACTACAAAGCAATCTGTTATGTACTGCATGTCTTCATGGGAGTGTGCAGCCAGTGCACGGTCATCAGCAAATAGAAAATCCCATAGTATGGCCTCGAACACTCTAGTCTTAGCTTTAAGTCTTTGCAGGTTGAAGAGTTTCCCATCAGTACGAAATGAGATGTATACTCCTCTGATGCATTCGCAGAAGGCATCGAGCAGCATTGCTGCAAACAGGATGGAGAACAAAGTCGGGGCAAGAATGCAGCCCTGCTTCACTCCATTTCTCACTTGGAATGGATCCGAGGCATCACCATTTTCTTGGACTCTGGCTTGCATGCCGTTGTGAAATGAGGCAATCAGTGCTGTCAGCTTGTCTGGACATCCAAACTTTTGCAGGATCTTCCATAGACCGTTCCGGTTCACGGTATCGAAGGCATTGGTGAGGTCTACAACCAAGTGGAGCTCTTGATTCTGCTTGCTGCATTTTTCCTGTACCTGACGGACAGCAAAAACCATGTCACTGGTGCCCCTGCCTGCACGAAATCCGCACTGGGATTCAGGGACGATGGAATCAGCAATATGTGTCATGAGTATTTAGGATGACCCTGGCAAGAATCTTCCCGGCGATGCAAAGCAGTGATCCCGCGGTGATTATCACAGGATGTCTTGTCTCCTTTCCTTTTGTAGATGTGCACAATAGTTGCATCTTTGAAGCCTTGTGGGACTTGCCCTACTTCCC